ATATAAGGATGATGAATGAGGAGGCTTAGTGCATAGCCCTAAGAAAGATGGAATCTGTTCAGGATGCTCAGAGAGTTTGTGTTTCGTTCTTTTGATGTTTGAATATATGGGTGTATAATTACTTGGTAAGGGAATGTAAGACACGTTAAATTGATTTCAGTTTTATGTGAAATATTTAGCACAACACCTGTTTCCTAGGAAGCACATAATGTTGATTTCTTTCCATGCCTTCTCCGTCCCCTTTTTAATAAAAATTATATAATATAGGCTTGCCAAAAATTCCACTCTTATACTTTTTATCTGTCGAATGTTTTTCGCATGTCCATGGTGACCAAAGAACATAGAGTTTATATTTGAATGGTTACTTTTGTCACTAGATATTTTTTCAAACAATATAAACGTTGTGTGTTTGAATATGGGAGTCAAATAGTTATTAACTTGGCAGTTTTAACATGAGATCACATTACAGATAACCTGCAAACTTCATCATTAAACAGTGATATTTTGGCTCTTAGCTTTATGTGTTTGTTGATTTTTTTTTTTAAACTCATTAAGGGATTTTGGAACTCCTTTGCAAGGAAGGGAAGAGATACTACAAAGAGGCAAGTGAGTTTTAGTGATCAGAAATGTGTAAGAATACGTAAAAGATTTGCTTTTGACCTAATGTTAGAAGTGATAAAGCTATTTGAAGACAGCTTAACGCTGAACCTAACTGTTAACACTTGAGGATTTCCTCTGGTCTACAGTAGTTCAGACTGAGAATCTGAAAGAATGATCCTTCCACTCTTCCCAGCTGTGAGGGGAAGCACTCTTCCCAGTGTTCTTCCCTATGTCACGAACACTGAGTGGTCCCTGCCTCAGGTTACCACAGAGGATGAGGGCAGCTCTGAGAAGTAACCGTTTCGTTCCCCAAGGGCTCCTTCTCTCTGGTGGGGCCCCAGAGTCCTCTGGAGCCAGCTCATTGCTACTTAAATATAATATTAGGAAGAAAGTTGGTCTCTTCTTAGGAATTGATCACTCACATGATGAATCCATTACCTGAAAATTAATTTAAATCCATATATTATGGTAACTTTTAGGTTAAATTCTCTTCTACTTAATCAATTCCTTCAGCTGACATCCTGCCCTAAGCGGTTTCTGTCCTGTGGAGAATCCCTGTGCTGCAGGGACCTCTCGGGATGGCCCGTGTGGGGAGGACAGGGATTGGAGATTGCCAGTGCCACTGCCTCCCTGACGTATTGTCTGACCTTGAAACTCATCTTACATCTTGTTATTCAGTGTGCTCTGTTAAGAGTTATGCACAACAATTTATAATGTTGAGTACCTTCATCTAACAGTCGTAAAATGATTAACCATCCTTGAATAACATCTGAAAAGGTAACATATCTCTTTGTAAAAAACAGAACGTCATCATAAAGTGACTCTCTTCATTGTTTTCTTTGTTAAACTCTATATTACTTCACAAATTATAGTTAAAAAGATCAAATTTTTTAGCCAACTGTTATTTGTATAAATATGAAATTAACTTGGAACCATAGTGTACAAAAATTAAAAGAAAGGAATGCAGAATTGGAAAGGGGAAAGAAGACAATTTTAACCTGGCGTAGCTAGCACCTGACTGTAAGTAGACAAAAAAGTTAAGGTACATGTGCATTTGATTTTAGAAGTGGAAGATATTTTTTTAAAGATTGCAGTCATAAGAAACTGCTAACAGTTACAACTAGAAAATAGTTTAAATGGTTTTGCAAGTGACTGTGATTACATGCCTGGTTCCTGGCTTGATTGCCTGCAGATTTAAAATATGGACCTAATTTTTGCATGCTTCTCAGGCTTTCTTCATTTTACTGAATTGCAGCAGAAGTTAGACTATTCTGTGTTTTTACCCTTTGAATCACTGTCGTGGTCAAGTTGAAGTGCAAGAACTCATAATTCTGTAATGTGAGGTTTGTGTTAAATTTAGCGTGGGGCAATTTCATGCTTGGCATACACATAAAAAGCTATATTTTTACAGATGAATGAGTAACATTTTTTAAAAGATCATGCGTTTTAAAGATCTACTGACAGCTCGTGGAAAACTTTGTAAAATATTTAGATGCAGTTCAGTTGATAATATTTTTTTATTTTGTATTCACATTCCATGTTTCTTTTTAATGCAGGGTTTTACTTAAAAACAGATTCATTGTTTCTTAAAGGTGAACTCTAGCTTAATTCAGAATTGGACTAAGCTCAAAGGTATTCACTGGTATGTGCCGAATCCACCCACTAAAAGATTATTTGGAGGCATTTTTCACATAAATATTTTTCCGTTAACCTTTTAAAAAGTTTTATTTAGCCCCTGTGAAATATGCTGGCTCTTCTGGGTTCATTAGAGATGACCCAAGACAAATACTTTTGGGATGGAGTAGAGTTCTTACTGAGCTTTTCAGTGTCATAGTTGACTTACCAAAATTTTTGTCACTTTTGTGTCATATCCATATTTCATTAAACTTTGTACATTTGGAATCCAGGAGGCTAAATCATCCCAGTGACATGACATTAGATAGATTGCATGCTTGTTTCCCCTATGCGGGGTACTGTATTTAGAACCTCTCTGTCTTTCTCTCTCCCTCTCTCCCTCTCTCTTTCCCTCTCTCTCCGTCTATCCCTCCCTCTCTCTCTCCCTCCCTCCCCCCCCCATATATATATGTATAGTTGTGGTATTTTTGTTTTTTGTTTTTTTTTGCTGGGTGAGGGTTGTACTATTTTTAAGATAGTAGATTAATAGATTCTTTAAGTATTTTGGGAGAATTCCCTGAACAGTTTCCTTTTGCGACTCCCATAACAGAAACCACTTTGAAATGAGATGGTTAAGTTAGTTGGAGCCAATTGGATTTAAATATAAAGCTGAGTGACCCAACTTAATTATTTATTTAGACATAAGTACTCTGTTGGAAATCTAAGAGTGTAGCTGACTTGTAGCAATCTATTTTTAAAAGATTGGTGGGTTACTCATGCCCAGAGACCCCAGTCCCTGCATGGCTGATATCCTTTGAACAAAGTCAGGTCTCATAAATAGAGGACTACTTATCTGAAGCAGTCGGGGCAACAAGACATACACATCCTCATTGCTGTTCTGTTGCACCTGCTGAGACTGCAGGTGGAAATGCAATTTCTCGCCTGAGCAAAGGAAGGAAGATCCAAATGACCTAGAAAGACACTCTCGCCCTTTTGCATTGGTGGCTGTCTTGGACCTGCCTGAGTGGTGAGAAGCTATAGCTCTTTTTATTACTTTGACTAGGATTCTCTCTCCCTGCCCCATGAATCTAAGGAGATGAGAGACAGCGTTAAGCTTGCTTCTGTTTCAGTCATACCAGTTGAGTGTGTAGTTAAAGGCCCGTTCATTTAAGGAAAAAGAATCTGAAACTGGAAAGTAAGCCTTTAATCAGATTAACACAGATAGTATATTTTTCTGAAATATTCTCAGGAAAGATTGAATGAATTGAAATTTTCGTGATTTTAAAAACTTGCTTGAGGGCTGGCCTGGTGGTGCAAGTGGTTAAGTGCGCGCACTCCGCTTCGGTGGCCCAGGGTTCGGAGGTTGGGATCCCGGGCGTGCGCCGACACACTGCTGGTCAAGCCATGCTGTGGCGGTGTCCCATATAAAGTAGAGGAAGATAGGCATGGATGTTAGCTCAGAGCCTATCTTCCTCAGCAAAAAAAAAAAAAAGAGGAAGATTGGCATTGGATGTTAGCTCAGGGCCGATCTTCCTTACCAAAAAAAAAAAAAAAACTTGCTTGATTCATATTTTTACACAAAAAAAGATTTCAGATT